AACAAAAAGAGGAATGCCACCAACAAGATCCAGGAGGTGCCAACCGAGGTTGTGTCAAACGAAGGTCTTACAACCCAAGAACCATCTGCCAAAGAGGCGAGCGAGGGTGAAGTAGATGTCCTGCCTGAGGACGTCTCGCTCGGCAAAGAGTGGGTGATGAAGATGAACGCGGGAATGGATGCTGTGAAGTAAAGGCACCCTTAGCATTCTTGAGGGGAACACTTTGAAGAGATTGAGAGTATCCGAAATGACTTGGAGGGACGTACACAGACCGAGATGGAACTAAGGCGAACCATCACTGCCTTAGAGTGCAGACTCATGGAGGCTTTGAGTACTATCGATGCTATGAAGGCAAATATAGAGTCACTCGAGGTGCTTGTCAATGCTGGCGTTACCGAGGCACCTAGCAATGTTGTAGTAACGAGGGAGGCCAAGATCGAGGCTCCCAAACCCCCGGTTTTCAAAGGTGTTCGTGATGCACAAGAAGTGGAAAGCTTCATTTGGTACTTGGAGAACTACATCAGGCACGGAAAAGTGAGGGGCAACGAGGCCAAGATCAACACTACCGTGTTGTACCTCTCAGAGACTGCCATGCTATGGTGGATAAGGAAGATGGCCGATGTGGATAAAGGTGTATGCACTATTAGCACGCGGGATCAGTTCAAAGCCGAGTTCAAGCGACAGTTCTTTCCAAACAATGTCTTGTACGAGGCAAGGCGCAAGCTCAGGGAGTTGAAGCAAACATGGAGCATATGTGACTATGTCAAGCAGTTCACTACCCTTATGCTTCAAATTCCTAACCTGACCAATGATGAATTGTTGTTCCACTTCATGGACGGGTTGCAAAATTGGGATAAACAAGAGTTACAACGTCGGCAAGTCGCGGATATAGACCAAGCTATAGTGGAGGCTGGATCATTGATGGATCAGTGCTACGCCAAGAAGAAGGCACAGGCCGAGAAGAAGGGATGCTATATCTTGAGTCTTCGAGTATTTTTGTTGTATTTCTTTGCCTTTTCCACGTTCTTGCTATGCCAAGTCAGCCTTACTACACTCAAGATCGATAAGAGAATGGTAGAAAAAACACAAGAGAATTGTTAAAGGAAGCTTTGTATTAGAGAGAATTTGAATTGTTTGTTTGGTGAATTGCAAATGAATGGCCCCCCTTTATATACTAGTCTCCTAGGGGCTAGTGTGTAAATATTAATTATTACACAAGTCCTTAATATTTACAAGATAAGGGCTTTCTCTAGAATTTTCTACAAGCCTAGAAGATTCCAAGGACTTTCCTAGCAAATCCATAAGGATCTAGGTTCTTCCTAAGGAAATGTCCATACTTTTCTAGAATCTTCTCACAAATGCTAGCCTTCTTCTTCTGTAAGCTTTCACATGTCATTAATATATGCCAAATGACGTCTATGTGGCATGATAATGTGGAGGGTCATCACAAATAGCTCTACTAGTTATTGAATTTTGCGATGAAGTTATGGTTAATCTAAATCCGTGTATGTTTTTGACAAAGTACTAGTAATTCAGATTAGAAAACTCTGAAGTCCTTAGCTTTTTTTATCATATTAACTCCTATTTATGCATACTAAGGGTGTGTTTGGAACGAAGAAAAATATTTTTCAATTTTATCTTGTTTAATTGGCTTAAATGTTTTGGAAAATATTTTCCTCATCAAATCATTTTTCTCCAACTGGACAAAAATCTATCAAGAGAAGGGAAATATTTTCCAAAACTCGTTCTCAATCTTTCCCATCCCCACTAATCCACCCCCATCCACCTAACCCCCCGCCCCACCCCCACTCTAAATAAAAATATTATTAATGGTACTTTCTTTTGAAGGGGAGCCTTGGCAGTTGCTGCCATGTGACCTGGAGGTCACGAGTTCAAACAGTGGAAGCAACCTCTTGCAGAAATGTAGGGTAAGGCTGCGTACAATAGATCCTTGTGGTCCGGTCCTTCCCCGAACCCCGCGCATAGCGGGAGCTTAATGCACCGGGCTGCCCTTTAATAGTACTTTCTTTTCATGTTATAAGTATTTTTTTTTCATTTCAATAGATGAGTTTTTTTTTCATGATACAAAAAGTATTTTTTTCATTAAACCAAAAAAATGCTTTCTTTTCGTAGAATTTTTTTTATTTCAACAAAAAAAAAAAATCTTTTTATGATTAAAAAAATATATTTTTTCATTTAAACAAAATGAATTTTTTCTTTTTATGATGCAAAAAAATATTTTCTTTTATTTCAATAAAATGAGTACTTTATTTTCATGTTGTAAAAAGAGTGCCTTTTCTTTTTCAACTAAAAAAAGAGTATTTTTTTTTTTAAGTTTAGGAGCATAAATTTCAACGTTATTTTTGCGTAAAAAAGTAAAGCAATGCATTAGTTCCTTTGGGTTTGTGTGAATTTTAGAGACTTGGGGGAAGTGGGAGGGGGGAGGGGCGAGAAGAGTAGCATAAAAAATATTTTACTAAAAAATATTTTCTACTCTCTAAAAACACTAGAAAATATTTTGGAAAAATGCATAAGTACCCCCCTGACCTATACCCGGATTCCCAACTACACACTTTTTCTTTGCGGGAATCCTATTACCCCCCTAAACTTACTTTAAATGTAATTATTTGCACCCTTAAAGCTGACAACCAAACTCTTGGCAAGTGGTGAGTTAGCCATCAAAGTTAAGGATTCGACCTTGCTCCAATCACGACGGGTTGTTATTTTGATAAGTTCGAAATGACGCCCTTAAGGCCAAGGGCCTTCTCCATCAAAGTGAAGGATTCGACCTTGCTCGAATCACGACGGGTTTTTATTTCGATAAGNGTGTGGGAGGAAGAGCAAAAGAAATAAAAACGAATATAAGCTGAGAAAACTTTTTCCAGTTAAAATTTCAATATATCGTTTTTTTTCCGGCGTGGGAAGGTTTTCCGATGATGAATTTTTTCCCCCCAAATCTGAGTGTATTTTGCCTTTGCTTACGAATAGATCTTTTTGAGAGTTTAATTTGTGTGTGAAAAGAAAAAATGGAAGAAAAACGGTTAGACAAAGTCGTCGGTGAATGAATATCCGCCGGAATTAGAGAAGAAACCAAAAAAAAAAAAGTAATAGAAATAGACAAAGAAAAAGGAAAAGGAAGAGGAAAAAAAAGTAAGAAAAAACGGTAAAAAAAGAACAAAAAAGTAATCTGAAAATCATTTTTTCCTTCTTCTCACTATCCTTTGGGAGAGTGAAATACACACACTCTGACACGTTAGCGTTAAGGGTGCAAATAATTCCATTTAAAATAAGTTTAGGGGGGTCATAAGATTCCCGTGAAGAAAAAGTGTGTAGTTGGGAATCCCGATATACGTCAGGGGGGTACTTGTGCATTTTCCCAAATATTTTCCGAAATTTTTTTCCATTCACCAACCAAACAAGAGAAAATAAGTGATAAAATCACTCATTTAGAAAATATTTTCATGGAAAACATTTTCCTTCGTACCAAATACACCCTAAGATGATTTACTCGTCCCTGAATATGGTTAGTTACCTTTACATTTATATAAGTTCAACAAGATACTACAAAGTTTAGGTGCAAATGATACTCGTTTCCTGTTAATTACACTCTTAGTCTAGAATTAATCTTGAAACACTTACTACAATTTGTCAAAATTCTGTTAGAATTTCAGTTGGAGTTTTACTAAATTTCACTAAAAAAAGTTCTATCATACTTGTTGATTGTAGACTATTGAATTGAAAAGACCCCCTTTTAGCATAAAAAACACCAGTTACATCGACTTTATTGTATGCGTTAACAGAATTTATTCTTTTCTAATAAAAATAGTTCCTAATTTGTCCACGATGATATTGATAGTGTCCAGTAAGGGTTCCATAAGAAGTTACTCTTGTTCTTCTCTTTCTCACAAAAGATTGTAATTTAAGGATGTGGGTTACCCACCAAGAAACTCCCAAATTGGCTTTTATTAATATATCCAAATGGAAATAACCAAAACAACAGGAGTGTACAAGAATGGTAGAAAGGCCATTTGTCCAATAGCTGGGGTGAGTTTGTGAAATAAAAATGATCCGGAATTTATGATTTAAGTTATATGCACCAACAATATCAAATGATGATAGCAACCATTGGCACAAAATACCTTACCACATAAATCTATCGGAAAGTCTCTCCGCTTTTTAGTAGGCTTAAGGTCTGCGTACACATTATTCTCCCCAAACCCCACTTATAAGAGGTTATTGTTTTTGTACCTGGGGAATAAAAACTATCAAGACAAAACTTCCCTTAAGTGAATTTTTTTTTTTTTTTAGATGGCCACCTCAAACTCCATCTATTTTAAATTCAATAGCAGGAAAATAGAGCAAAAAGAAAAAAGGCTAGTGGAAGGGACTATAAAATGACAGATGACAAGGAAAGAAACCACCTTAATAGCTTGAGTAATCAAATGCTAGAATGACATTATGCTATTTAGAGACTCGTTTCATTACTAGGATGTGATAGACAAAAACATCCATGACAATGGCATAGTCAGGTATTTCGTCAGGAGTGTTCAAACTTTAATGACGTCAATAATTTTTTTTATTTTATAGAATGGGTGCAACGAAAGTTTTAAATCAAATTACACAACATATAGCTAAACAATAAAAATACATGTAAAAGAACTAAAATTATATAAATCAAAACTAACATTAAAAAAAGACAACAATAAAAGCTTTATTAATAAAAGTAAGTTTAAAACGAAAGGAAAGAGACAATCGAGAGGGTTTGTACTGTAGAGAGCTTTTGCTGAATAAATTTTATAGAGCTTGACTTTTAAATCATAAAATTTGTCTAAGAAATAATTCTTAATTAAGAAATTACTTTTAGGATCAGTTGTTTATTCTTACATTAATTTTAAGTTATAAGAGTTATTTATAAAAAAAAAAATTAGATTGAGAAAAAAGTCAAATAAACCACAGATAGTTTTGTGTGTCAAACAGTTTTAGCGAACAAAATGGGCAGATAAAAATATTTAGACATGGATCTGAATCCATGAACATCTCAATTTAAACACCTTAGACCGCTAGGCTACCTCGCCCAACTGTATTAAGGATGTTCAAAATATAACATATAATCATTTAAAGTAGTATTTGACCTATATAAACACTATAATTTTCCGGCAAAGGATGTTGGATTGGGATCCGAATTTGCTCCAGTAACACATCCTCCATTATCTTTCAATAGGGATCTCTTGTTTGTTTGGTATTCTATAGAAATTTATCATCTTTCAATCTTGTATAGAGTTTGACGATATTCAAGAAAACAAAATGTGTTCCGCCAGATATTCAGAACCCACGCGGTGGAATTCCTTGTGTTTATGCTTCAAGTAAGCTAACAATTTAGCATAAGGTACCACAAATACAACAGCCGGTCCAATCAGGACGACGGGCTCTGCTGGTTAGCTTCCTCTCCAGGCATTAAGTTGTTCCCAGGAACAGCAACATTGGGACTTAGCCCAGCAGCGTAAGCTCCATCAGTTCCTTCTTCAGAAATGGGAGGGGCAGGAATAGCGGTAAGAGCAGCTGCATGCTCTCGATTCTGCTCCAGCTGGTGACCGGTTGGAAAGCAACCAACAATAACCTGATGCACTCAAGATGTTACAGATTAGTTTTGCAAGCTCACTGCGAGACACAAAATAAGGAAAAAGATATTCAAAGTAGCAGTTAAATGTGGGTGCTATTTGCCATTCATTAGATTTCAAGAACTTCCCCACTAACATGGATGCATATTGCACTTGCACACAAAAAAAAAAGAGAGATCAATTATGTTTTTTGTGTTGCAATGCCAGCCAATCATCTCCACTGTCGTAAATTCCCAAAGATCATAAATAACTAACTGCTTGTTAGCCTAACAAGTTGTTGGGATAAGAATAGCAATGAGCTAAAAAAGCTGGGTAGTTACACTCTAACCTGAACGAGGCTATCGGCTACCAACAAGCCTGCAACTGCTCCTCCTATAACCTGACCATCAGGGTCTGAAAGAGAGACACTCAGTCCACCAGATCTGCTTTTTGTTACTCCATCATCACTTGGCCTAAATGATCCCTCCAGAGAGAGAATATCATAACGACCCTGCAGCAAAATCACAATTTGGATAACAAGAAATGCTAATGATGAACATTCCATCATTGTTCTTGCTTTCATTCCCAGTGGGAAATAAGTATTTCGATTCATATAGTAGAAAAGAAAATGGCATTTCTTCCCTCAAGAGCTGAAGGTCTGTGCTTTAAATTTACAAGTAAAATCTAACTAATATTTTAAAAAATATATTCCGACGGCAAAAATAGTAGACAGAACAGGGTGCCACAAACAACATATTTGGTATTTTTTCCCAGTAAACTGATGAAGATACACATCAGCATCCAAGGGGTTTTTATAAAAATGTATATGCTGCAGCAAAGAAATCAAGCGCATCCATACATGCAAATCAGCATAGTAGAAGTAAACGGCTCGCACCTCGTAGGTCAAAGTTCCACCAGAAGTAGTCTGATGAAGTGTAACACTTGAAATTGCACCACATGCAGACAGCACACAAATAGCTCTAGGTTCTTGTTGAGCAAATGAAATTATCTTCATGCTGACATCCTAATACACCAAAGAAATCAAAAGAAATTGGATTTTAAATATTCTAACAGAGGTACAAACAGCCAAGGAAATTTCAGCAAAATAAATGTCTAGAAGCAAGGCTCCTCAGCTATAACAATTGTTTGCCAACAGTAAGATGGCACTTGTCCTGCACTTGTCGTGTTTCATCAAATGCTTACTTTAACCTGGCGGACAAGCTGCACGAGAAATTTTATCCATCCCTCAATTGACTGCGTAACCAAGCCCCAAACTCAAATTGGAAAGAATAAACTCTCCAATATTTGGACAGACAATTACAACCTCCATCTCATTTTGTTTGACCTACTTTTTACTTTGTATACCCCAAAAATATTACTTTCTAAAAACGGTGAGGCCCGTCATTTCTATGTGACAACTTTAAACATTTCATGTCTTGAACATATTTTAACATATATCTACCAGAACACAGCACCAGTGCATGTGCACAAGTAGGTTGCGATAAACAAGTACATCATTTCTAGATAATTATGACTATAGACATCAATAAATGTGAGGAGTAGGGAGATAAATGTTCTAAGGCTAATAATTAATATAAGCTTTTGGCTCTGCCAGATCTAGTGTTTCAGTTTTCCCAGGTATGATGAGCATTGAATAATATCAAATTGTTTATTCCACACATATTCGAGATTCCAACATTGTCTTTCGTATATTCAGATGTTCAATGCTGCATTCTTGAAAACCACAAAATAAATTTGATTTCAGGTACAATCTTGAAAGAAAAAAAAGGTTGTCTCGATACAACCACTGTGGCACCAGGAGTTGCCTATTTTCCAGAAGTTTAAGGGATATTGGTTTCAACACATGCTAAATAAAAAATTAATGATATGTAGTTTAGCACTCAGCACTTCTTTACTAAAAACAGAAATGACCAGTAAGCACCAGCCACTTGTTACAGACCTAAGAAAGATGTCTACTTCCGGACATTGAGATATCTACTAGTCGAAAATCAAACCATTCACATTTATATCATAGGAATTTGTTAAATGTAAATATGTATAATTGAGAAAGCAGAAAACTTATTGAGGAAAGCAGGTGAATTGAGCCATGTTAATTACTTATCCAGTTACAGTTCAAGATATTTTATCAACTACCTCTCCCTAACTCATTGACCTCTTTGACTTTCCTTTCCCGAAAAATCTACCTTTTGACAATTTTCTATCAGAAATCTAGGGCTGCTATAATGTACTTCGTTTCATTCAGCAGTAGAAAGCAGCATGAAACCAGCAAGAGGCTAAGTGCGCATGAATTGCAAGCAAAGCTAAAGGCAACACATTTGTCTGAATGCAACACATGCCCTAACAAAAAAGGCTAGTTCTTGATATACCAATAAATTCTCACCTTTGAAGAGATAACATAGAAACTCCTGCTTCAGTGGGAATAGATGTTCAAACAACAACCCAGTATAATCCTACAAAGGGCTGCCCCGGTGCATTAAGCTCCCGCTATGTGCGGGGTCCGGGGAGGGCCGGACCACAAGAGTCTATTGTACGCAGCATTTATGCAAGAGCCTGCATTTATGCAAGAGCCTGTATCCACATCTTGAACCCGTGACCTCCTGGTCACATGGCAGCAACTTTACTAGTTACACCAAGGCTCCCCTCAATAGATATTCATACCAAAAACTTTTTTAGATATAGAATAGAGTTATGAATGTATGTATCATTCTTTACGACATAAGCATCAGCCATAGTTTTTTTTTTTTTTTTTTTTTTGTGAGAATTAGCATCAGCAGTATAATTAATCCTAGCACCCAAGGGTCTAGGCAGCACACCTACTTTGATTCACATCATACAAATGAAGCTCTCAGTTTGTGAGGTGAGAAAAGAAAAGGAGATGGAGAACAAAGAAGGAAGCCATTTTAAGCTTATAAAAGGATCTTTTTTTTTGACAGGTAGCTTATAAAAGCCATTTTAAGCATTACACAACAAAGGTTCAGGAAATGTTACTTCCTTCAGACCAAATTTCACCAAGCAGAATACCATACTATATTCAAGTGCTTTAACCCGTTTCTCCTGAAAAAGACGAAAATTATCTACCTCAAGTCCAAGTCAAATTCAGCAGTAATTTCTTACTGTTCACCATATATCTTCTCTATTGTCTTCACTAGAAGGTGTCATGTGTTCACTGCTGGTCTGATGCCTTTGGCTGACTGACATATATAGCCAATATCCAATTTATATCCATATGGAAATTCTTTTTTGCTTAAATTCACCTGTTATACTTTATTCCTTTTTGACTAGTCAAATTAGCTCCATTAGAGAAATTCGAACTTGACATACAGTATCATATATTTGATCAACGTGTCTGACCCTTTCTTCCTCTTCGTCCTTTATCTGTGATTTCCCGAGAAACGCATTGCACATATCACCAGCTAAGAGCTAGATTGAACCCACTTCCCAGATAGTATACCTAGAAGGGGATATGATCTTTCAAAAATTGAGCATTAAGGAACTATCATTAGTTAGTTTAAATGTACCTTCTATTTCATTTACACCTATGCTGCTCAGCGGGTGCAGCTATCCGATATGGGTGCGGATCTAGAAGTCAGATACTTCATCCCATAAATTTAGGATCGGGGTTACGGATTCGAGTGTGGGTATAGATGATGCGATAGGGCCAATAAATGTATAGTACAACATATAAAGTATATATTCCGATTGATTAAAGTTATAGATCTAAAATTATTTAATTCTTTATAAACATCACACACCAAACCCAATCAATCTATACTTCCCGGTCATGAATGTAGACAAAGTACCCAAGGTAAATTGACCAAATCCCGTATGGATCCCACATCCACACCCAAGTCATGTCGACACAGATGCGACAAGAATTTTGAAGAGTCCAAGAAACATAAATTTACACCACTATTTGGCAGGATTAGGAAAGTCAAAAGAAAACTTCGAGAAGCATTCCATAACATCAGATTAACCTCTTCTTGTATCCCTACCCCAAAAATTTAATAATTATAGTCATAAATGAAAGATAACTCTAACTTTAACGCACACCATCCTTTCATTCTTCCGGTCATAAATCAGGCATAACGGAGTATGAACATTTGAAATTCATTAATATTGGAGTATGAACATCGGAAATTCATTAATACATAAGGCTTACCTCGCCAGCATTAACAATGATCGCATGCGCGGCAAGATTTGCACCGACAAAGTATTCCATCCTCTCACCTAAGGAAATAGAAAATTTAGTAATAGCCAAACAAAGTTAAACCTTCAAGACACAGAAAACTAAACTTTTTAGAATATAATATCAGCTTCGAACAAGTAAAATTTATAGGCAAGATAATTAGATTATATTTTTTTATAAGGTAAGGTAATAATTAGATAGTATTTTTTTTTATAAGGTAATAATAAGATAGTATTATTTTAACCGCAGAACACATAGAGACCAAATTTAACCAGTTTTCACGGGAAATTGGAGAAAACCATAAGCAATAAAGTTTCATAATGGTTCAAGTTCCGTATTTGTATTAAGAAATCCGTTGATATTATAATAACATTTAGATGGGAACCCAATTCAAAAATGTGCTGCTGGTTCTGTGGTAAGATTTGGAGCCCAAGTTCGTCTCATTCTTGTTGCCCACTTATGTGAGTTCGAATCTCCGTAAGGACAATCTACTCTTCCCTTTGTTTTTCCACAAAACTTTACAAAACACTCCTCAGAGATCTACACTTAATTCTGTTTTTTTTTGTGTGTTCTTAATTTTGATAAACAAAACATAACAAATGACTAAAAGCCAAACTATAAAAAGAACCAAATATCAGTACTTATGTTGTATTTAAGTGGTTTGTTACTCTTTTAAATATATATATGTTGAATATCGGTACTCTTTCCTTAGTCCGGTTATTATAATATATTAACTTGAGGTGGTTGTAGGAACCCATAAACTTCAAATCCGGATCCACCTCTGTACTAATAGACTCACTTAGGCCTTTCATCTCTAGCATGGTTATATATGACAACAATATTACATCTATTCATATAGTTTCAATAAGAGAGTTACATCTACTGATAAAATATCTATGCGTAGATTTGTATTCTAGTTCCAGAATTTGATATAAAGCATAATCAACTGAGTTTTGTTACTCGCTTGCATTTATTCATGAGGACATATCTATAAATTTTGCATAATGATGATAACCTTTTTATCACTCTGAGAGAGTAAACTATCTTAACACATTGCCACTAGAAATAAACTTTAATCTTGTTGAAATCGAAAAGAATAAACGATCAGTGAGACGGTAAAAGAATATTACTCCATCTGTTTACTTGGACAAAAGTGCTGAGTTTTATAGCATCATTAGCTGGTATAATTACTTCTATAATTATAACTGATATACTGATTCCAATTTCAGTATTTCGTCTGTCATGTAAAAATATCAATATACCATGTATCTATGTCTCACGGGTCAGAACAATACAAACTCCATCACTTTCTTGCCTTTTTAAAAATTATCAGCGTCTTCACTGTATGCACTTGGTTATTTGTTCTTATCCCGTCTCTATATATCTCACAATTATTGTCTGAAGATAGACATGCGTGGTCATATCAGTTTAGAAGACAAAACACCAAGTGATCCAACTCTATTTGGTCAATACATGAAGCTGCTTCCCACCCCCCACCCCCGCACCCCCCCACCCCCACCCCAACCCACACAAGAAAACTAGCAGCTTTAGATGCAGTGAAAATATTCTCCCCTTTCACTATCTTCTTCAACATCATCAATGCCAGGACATCAAAGATCCTTCTTGATAATGTGGACCCAGTCTAAGTTGGTAAATACTTACAACAACACAATACAATAAACAAAACACAAACAGAAGTAGAGCAAACATATCCACACCACTAGATCCAGCCCCATACTGTGAAACATTATTAATCAATAATCAGAAATAAATATTCAACAGCATGAGCCAACGTTTAGAAAATTCTAAATCCGATTAACCGAGCATCAATATCAAAATTGCATTCAAATTCTAAAAAATAAAACAACTACGCCTCAGTCCCCAACAAGTTGGGAGAAAATGTTACCTGGAGTTTCGACCTTAAACTTGTTCTTTTTCTAAAGAGAATCAACGGGGCGACTTCCACTGTTTTTCCAAGGTGAAAAATTTCCAGGAAGGGAAATTGAAGCTGATATTGGCATTGGTGACAATGCAACCGCGGCCACTTTACCATCTGGTCCATACTTCCTGATCTTCCCCTTTTCTTCTTCTTCTTCTTCTTCTCTTCTGTTGAAGTAGCTGCCACACTCACTGGTGTTGCTACTACAACTGATCCACTAAACTCATTATTAGTAATACTTTCAATCCTTGGGGCCACTCTGTAGCTTTCAGGAGCTTCAGAATTACTAACTCCTCCTCCTCCATTCATATACTCCACACTACTTAGTAAATAACCAAAAAACCCTTAAACCCCTGAAAACTCCAAAATGACTTAAGCTCCCAAAAACAACTAAAGATCAAATTATTTTTCAAGAACTCAAAACCTCAGAATAACAAAGGGAAAAATAAAATCTTTTTTTCCAAATGCCATACTATATAACAAGTAAAGTACCAAGAATCTGCAAATGCTAGAATGAGTTTTGTCTACAAAAAGATCATCTGACTACGTCAAATTTCTGCAGTGGAAATCTAATGATATTCTGGACTGTGGCATAAATTCTGCTACTGCAGAGGAAAGTACAGATAGCTTAAAAGAAGAAACTTTTCTTTTTTGGTTTTCCCTCCCATGGGGGCCGACTAAATGGGGATTGGCGCCCGAAAGTACCACATGCAAGTCACTATATTGGGGTAATGGCAATTTCTATGAAAATAGAAAGAAAGTGTGTAAATTTTTTGTGTTTTCACAATTTCTTTGAGGAGTTGGTGAAATTAGGGTTTTTGCAAGGAAAAAGGTGAAGGACGAAAAATAAAAGTTAAAAAATAATTTGAAATTTAATTAAATATGGGAAAATTAAGTAATACTATTGCAAAATTCAAAGTAGCATTAATTTTGATCAAGTAAAGCCAGGATAATTTCACATAAATACAACGAAAAAGGGTTCAAAATGCCCCTAAACTATTGAAAAAAGTTTAAAAATAACCTTCATCCACCTTTTGGGCTAAAAATACCCCTCCATCCCCTTTTTTGCTTCACTTATGCCATTTGACCGTTAGGTCAATGCTAAATTAAAAATAATTATTATTCTTTTAGTAAAATTTAAAACAAAATTATTTTGCAAAATATTTTTATTTTTTTAAACTAATGCACCAGTAGTCTACTAATTTAGTAAAGTCTTCTTATTTATTTTTTTCAGTTTTTACAATTTTTTGTTTCATTTTTTCAAATTTTTAAAAGCATTTTTTTGTAAAAAAAGAAAAAAAAATGTTTTTAATAAAATATTTTCATTTNTTTTTTAAAAGTAAAAATTTAAATTTTTTAAAAAAAACTAGTAAAAAATTATTTAACTAAAACGTAAATTATTTTAGTTAGTAAATTTATTTTTTACTAAGTTTTAAAAAACTAAACTTATTTTAATTAAAACTTATTTTTTTTCTGTTTTACTAATTTTTTTTCAGTTTTAACAAACAAATGACTTTAAAAAACTGAAATAATGTATTTTTTTAGAAAAACTGAAAAAAAAAAGAAGACTTTACTTAAATTAGTGGACTGCTGGTGCATTAGTTAAAAAAAACGAAAATATTTTGTAAAATATTTTTTTTAAGTTTTACAAAAAGAATAATAATTATTTTTAATTCAGCATTGACCTAACGGTCAAAGGGCAAAAGTGAACCAAAAAGGTGGATGGAGGGGTATTTTTAGCCCAATAGATGGATGAAGGGCATTTTTAAACCTTTTCCAATAGTTTAGGGGCATTTTGAACCCTTTTCCGTAAATACAACTCACACACCTGACTTGCAACATAATAGCCTAGATACCACTTTGCAAATTTATAGCCCAAAAATAATAGGCTAATTCCCGAAAGACAGCTTATTTCACACATTCAACTACGGTTATTGCTCCCTCTTTATACAACCAGTTGTTTTCATACACTATTATGTGCAATTGCTGAAGCAATCCAATAGGATAAAAGAAAAATAAAAACTTGGTAAATGAATTGTAGAATCCCTCCAACGCGTACAAATCTTTTTTATACAGCACATACACGAAAAAGAAGAAGAGAAGGAAGTGTCAAACTTCCGTAGAGGCCTCTTACACACTAACAATGTATATACATCCTTATAACTTGAAAAAAAATATATAATTATACAACATTATACATAAATATACACATTTATACACAATTATACAATACTGTATAACTTGTATAAACATGTATAATAGTGTATAAGAGGTGTTTGTATATTCATATACACAATTATACGCTATTATACAGTGTTTATACAAACTGCTACATAGTTATGATTTTTATCCAAGCCTCGAGTTGTAGTAGAAGGTATTGGATGATTCAACTCGCCTATAGGTTAGCAATTTTGCGCCAACAATTCGGAATTCAACGCACAGATACGATACACCCAATTTCAGATTCGAGACTTCAAGGAGGACAACACACATATCACGGGAATCAATAACTTACGATGAGCCAAGAAGGTCAACAAGCTTAAGAACAAGCAGGTCTGAAGCTTTCTGCTTCATCGTGTTGAAGATTGATTTAGCTTCCGAACTTTTCTCCTCGGAGCTCGACCAGACATTGGAAATTAAGGTTTTAAACTGCAAAGAGTTAGACCAATTTCAAAAATCTTCAATATTCTTCTGCTTGCCACCATGGATGACGGAGTAGGAGCCCGAGCCTTCTTCGAGCCATTAATGACAGAACTACGTAGGGGGTAGGGGAGGGGGAATAGCGGGGGCTAGGTTAAGAGAGGATGAGAGATCTATGTGGGTTGGAAAGAAAGAAGCGAGAGGCGGTGAGAGAGAATTTGGTGTGCTGGCAATGAAGAAAGAAGAAAATAATAAAAACCCTAAAAGTGTTCTTTAATAATGGTCTAAAGGCTGAAAAGTTTCTTTCAAATTATCTACAACATGAGCTAAATAGGGTAAGAGCTTCAAATCTGGGCCATTTTCGGTTGGGCTGTTAGGCCAAGTGACAAGGGCCGTAATTCTTTCTTTTAAAAATGGCAAAGTTAAGTGAATTGAATATAAAAAAACAAAAGAAATTTGGGTAAGAAAATTCCGTTCACTTTTAAATTGTGGTTATTTAATTATTTAAAGCTGTAAAGTTAACGTTGGAGCAATACAACTTTCCAATCTCAGACCTGGTCTTTGTCTTTTTAGGTGAATTAATGTTTGACCATTCAAAAAATATTGACATCTTTTATTTTTGGTAAATTTTACTGTCTTTGCCACAGTGAAGTTTTTGTTAAAGCAGAAAAACACTGCTTAGGCAGATCAAAAAACTGTCGATGTCCTTGTTATGGAGCTTTATCCTAGCGCTATTAAAGTAGAAAAACTGGCAGGGGCAGAGGCCGGATTAGAGACAATGTAATTCAAAACTGCTAAAATGTCACAGCCATAATGGTGGTTGTCCTGACCAAATTGGTCAATGGCGGATCTAAAGATGTCAAATTGCAGGATATTCCAAGAATCCAGGAGCTATGAGCCACTATGATTGGTCAACTTGGCCGTAGTCCAGAAAGTAGTCCTATGTTACCCTCCTTGTCACAATCTCTATGAACATACATTGATTGATTTTGAGAAACCAACTATGAGGACATTAGGTTCAACAAGAAAAGAACATATATTCTGGGACCTCAGTAAGCACACAACAATAAATCTATTGAGATTCCCAATTTGAAAGTGAAGCTTCAACTGCTTATCAGGGAGAAAAATATTATAAAATCCAATAGTGCACGTCCAATATTCGTAAGACTATGTACACGTTAAAGAAGCCAATATGAATTGACTTTTTAACCATAGCAAGATAAGAATTAACTACCAAACAAAAATTGAAAGCATTAGTTAACAATGAATTTCTGGTTGGTGTCAAACTAGTGATGTAGTCTTCAGCTGTGTTCTTGGAAGAACAAATCCAGCCCTCCTCTCCTCAAATGAATACTCAATCTCTTCAGGAATCTCCTCAACAGGCTTGGAATAATTGTAAGGAACAACAACATTATGAGCCGGTGTTATAGCCGTCTGCATAGGTGCAGACACAGTTGATGGAGTAGAAGGGACGGGAATTGGTGGCATTGCTATAGGAGTTCTGTTCTCTTCTTCTGTGGTATAAAGTGTCTTAACTGGAGTAGAAAATGGGATATGGCTACTAGGAAGCGTCGTCTTAGTTGCCATGTCATTATGCTTTCTATTCAGATCTTCCAAAATGTTAGTTGCATTGGACTTGGATGAATCATTGGAAGAAATGGGTGAGAAAGGTTTCCGTGTCATAGTTTTTTCTATTTCACAATCATTTATGGACTGCTTTTTTGAAGGAAGTCCAGCAAGATCCAAAGTTTTCCTCCCTACACGAAGAAGGCGTAACATATTAGATTGAGTAAGGACCTTTGCATTTAGAAATTTTTAATATACATCTCACAAAAAGAACATATATCAGGTGTCCAAGAACGTCTACCTTTCTTGGGCTAAATTACCACAGTTCCACCAAGTTAATCAAGGGTTATATAAGGAGCTTAAAAATGTAAGAAGATTGCTTACCTCCTGATAAAGCTGTCAATCCATCATTGATGGAATGATTAAATTGATCTTTTTGATGAAAGAGATCAGATTTCTTTGCTTGATGTGTGTTTGGAGTAGCTTTGGTCGAATGAAGCAGTTCAGGCTTCGGAGTTTGGAGCATTGTTCCTCCAACAGAAAGCCTTCTATTGGTTGCACCACTGCAGGACATTCTACGACCCTTTTTTGCACTTTGGTTCTTCATAGGACTGGGCTTTGAGCCATAGATAGCCTCATGTTCTGCCATTAACTGTCCTTGAAGTTTCTTCTGGTCCTGAGATAAGATAATATTTGGTGGAGGTTTTATTAATGACTCTTAATGATAAGCAGACATTTAGGATCAACAAAAAGCCAATTGAGAGTTCGTACTCGTTCTCTTTTACGTTCTTGCTCCTTTTCTTGCCGTAAGATGTTATACTCTTCAAGCATAGCGAGAAGACGGATCTAGCAGGAAATAAATCAAAAACTTGAGGGACATTGCTTAAGTCTCTGCAACTTATACCAGAAAACTGACTTATTTTAGAAGGCAAAAGAGGAGAGTACATACTCCGTCATACATGAATTCTACTCCTCTCTCATTTTCCCATGCTTTTGTTTTTGATGCCAAAGCATCAACCATTGCTGTTCAACAAAATTAGAAGTTCAGAGGTCATTATCAGGAAGTAATTCTCAAGACTGAAATTTTATCGCCAGATCCTATGATAGAGAACATTAACAAGTTCAGATAGAAATGAGGCTCCCCAAACAATAGGGAATACAAACAGTCAAGAAGTAACTTACACCTGGAAGCTTAACAGTAAGTTAAGGGATAACAATTCTAACTTTTATCTTTTCTAAACACGAAATATTATCACTGGATCATCTATGAGAAAATAGTAACTTCAGATTAATAATGAGGCTCTTGAAACAAAAGGGATTGCAGACAATCAAGAAGTAACTTATACCTGGAAGCTTATTGACCAAAGCACGAGCTTTCTCAGCACGCTTTAGAGTAAGGTGGGCACCTCGTCCAGCATTGTAGCGATTGTCATCCTAGGCAGGAATTAAAGGAGATCGTTAAGTAATTATGCATATACTTATACATGTCAATGCAAGTCAAAAGCGAACTAACCCTGTTATACTCTTCAAGCCAACACTCCTCCTCGCATGCAGCTATCCATTTCTCCACTTTCTCTAATATTTCTTTTCTGCTGAAAGCTTCCTCTTTAACTTGAGCTATTTGGAGCTCAATTTGCTCAAGGATAGAAGCAGCATCAACAGCTCCTTTTAAAGAGAAAAAAAAGGCAAAGGATCTTTACAACAATCACATAAAAAGGTCATAGGTTTTTAGACTAGGTCTGCTTTCCTGACCACAGGATAAATACCAGATTCAATAGCTTCAATAGCTACATCCATCGCATTATCTGAATCAGCAACCAAGTGAGTTCTTCTGCAGAACTCTTCTAGCTCAGACCTCTTCTTTAAAACAAGCTCTTTCATTTTGCTTGCTTTCAACTCTTCCAAGCGGGACACTTCTCCCTCAACCTTAATAGTAAAATATCAAGTTTAGTTCACTCTCAGTAGGCAAAGGAATGGTTTCGCTGTGGATGAGGACAAATAATTCATCCAAGTCTACTGTTACTATAACTTACATAATTAATGAATTCCACCGACAGTATATTTGGCTCTGTTATCTCATGTTCTGAGGCAGCTATCTTACAAGTAACATTTTGAAACGTCTGTTGCTCTTCAATTGGTGTGTCCATCAAATTCCATAGTTCCAACATGGAAGATGCAAGATCTTGTAGCTGCAACAATCAGAAGGTCAACAGCGTCTACATACTGAAGGAAAAAACAGTTACTTCAAAACAATTTATTCATCTGCTTACCCTTTGCATCCTTTGCAACTTAACCTCTCGTAGTCTTCCTATTGCAGCAGCTAAATGTTGGATGGTATCATTACTTATATTCTTTGTTCCTTCAGATTCCCCTAGACTCGGATGAACCTCATTGACAGTGTGCTTGAAATCCATACCAAGAACCAGGCATAGTGAGTTCAAAGCACTTAGGTGGTCCAAAACCTGTTTTAAGCGTTCACTCTGCCGCAAAAAGGATAATAAAAATCAGTCAGATAATAAGTTCATACTTTCATTTGGGGGTTGTGGGGATTTTGAACAGTTGATTAGGGTGCTGAAGAATATTGACCTTCTCTTTTTGAATCGCCTGTAGCTCTGCATGTAATTCTTCTAACTTTCTTATTGATAAATCACTTTCATCTACTACCACACTAGTAGTACAACCAGTGGGCACAAAAATTTCATCCCTAATCTTCTGTATCTGCTCTATAACTTCAGTGAATTGATTCTTTCTATCAGATTTCCTCTTGCGCATCTCGTCCAGTTCTGGAAGAATGGTTCTAAGTTCTGCCTTCAGACCACCTAAGTTCTGATCAGACTGAACACAAGATTCGTTTTAAAAATCCATTAATGATCTTGTGAAACTAAAATTAACATGTAAATCTAGTTCTAAGTCGACATGAACAGGATACACAATTACAACTATTGTCTAAAATTATCATCTTCTGACCTGCCTAATATGCACCGGTCTCTCGCCCATTGCGGAACAGATAGCTGCAAGCTCTGCTTCGGAATCAGCAATTACCTGCCTTAATTGAGCTCTATTCTTGTTTGCTTGGTCCACTTTTCTTCTATATACTTCTAGACATTCTCGTTCGAGCTCATACAACAATTTGTCTCTTTCAGTATCAGGTTCCCCAACTTCATCCCATATTATCTTTAAAGAGAGGAGAAAAAGGACAAATTTAAGATTAGCATCAAGAAAGGATGATATAGCAAACTCATGATAACTACCTGCAGTTCATATAACAGTGATCCACATGTGGTTTCCATTTGCTGAATTGTATCACTTTGAGTAGCTGGCATCTTAAAGATAATGGATCTGTTAGCAAAGATTAAATCTTTATAAGATCACTGTAGCATTAAAACAAACACCATGAGAGCAATTTCACTGGAAGGCAACAGTAACAATTGAAGACAAACACTAATCTCAGTAATTGAAGTAAATCTTAATAGTCCTTATTACTGCTCAATAACCAATTCTTTGCTAGAGAACTTCAAAATAATTAACCAGGATAAATCCCTTCAATAAACCCTAAATCTCTATGCTAAAACCAACATAAAAAAGCTATTAACAAAAAGACAAAAAAAAAACATGCTTTAGGCGTCGATTTACCTACTTTCCCTATAAATTAATACATTGGAGAAAGAGAAAAGTTGTTGGAAATTCATGGTAGATGAAGGAACCTACCTCAAACAAACAGTGGCGTTGCGATTTGGAATCGAAAGATGAGATGTTTTTGCTCAGGAAGCTGACTAAAGGATGTTGAATTTTTTTTGATTCAAATCAAATGTAGCTAAGAGAGAGAAATGGGAAGAGTAGCCGTTAAAATATGAAAAATTCGACCGTTGAAGATAAGCGGATCTATGGTATAATAATGAGTCATATTCTGCAAAAGGTTCAGTAACGTTCGACCGTTAGTTCAGTTTCGTCCCTAGATTTTTCGACATTTCAATTTAGTCCTCAATCTGGCGAAAAAGGATATTCAGTCCTCAAATTTGAGTTTTATAGTTACACCGTGGCAAGTGAAATTAGTCCACACATGCTAATTTGTGCCAAAGAAGGGTAAATTATAAAAGTAAACAGGGTATTAAAAAGGTGGAGGTTAGGGAGTCCGGAACCTAAATATTATTTTCTTGGACTCAAAATACATTAATAAGTGTTTAAAAAAAAAGGTACCTTTCTATATATATAGCGTCTTGTATTTAGACGCTATACCGCCTGACGATTTGATTGCCATATATAGCGTCTTCATTTCATATGATAAACATAGCGTATGAAATGAAGACGCTATACCCCTAATTAAATAACGCCCTTCGTCTTCTTCCCCGACCAGAAACCCTTTCCCCCATTTTTTTAAACCCCCCAGCTTTTGGTCCCCCCCTGCTCGTGTTTTTTAAAAAAAATAAATTGTGGGCCCCTCCCGTCACACAAAAAGTGAAGAACGTAGGTCCCACATCGTACTGGAGCATTGTATTATTGTGATTTAACTCCATCGTCTTCAAATTTTCACACAAAACACTCACTACATCGAGGTATTTCGATTTATTTTATGTCGAAACTTGTATAATAATGTATATTAGTTGATTGAATGTGTTTTCATGTCGTTTTGTGTTTTATTTGCGAAACTAGTATGTTATATTTATCCGGACTTAAATTAGTGTGTTCTAAAATAAATGTAAAATTGAGCTTTAATTTTTTATGTTAATATCCGAATTTAGATATTAGTGTTTCCATGTCGTTTTGTGTATTATTTGCGAAACTAGTATGTTATATGTATTTTTGTGAATGTTATGTGATTAAAATGTATTTGTTGTTTACATTTAGTTTATTTATTAGCGTAGTAAAATGTAGAAACTTTTAGCGTAGTAAAGTGTATAGTATTTTAGCGTAGAATCCCTGTAGTTTAAGTATTTCTTATACTGGTAGATGAAGATATATACTTTGTACAATTAAATAATCAAAATATTGAATTTGACACACATAAATATTCATGATAGTTTGGTGCTACTGGGCCTCAAATATCAAGCCTCGAACCCAATATGTATATATATTTAAGAATTTAAATTATAAAACAAACACACACAAAATAATCATGATAGTTTGGTGCTACTGGGCCTCAAATATCGATCGTGGAACCCAATAGGTATATATATTTAAGAATTTTAATTATAAAACAAACACACACAAAATAATCAAAATATTGAATTTGACACACATAAATATTCATGATAGTTTGGTGCTCCTGGGCCTCAAATATCGAGCCTGGAACCCAATAGGTATATATATTTAAGAATTTAAATTATAAAACAAACACACATAAAAAAATTAAAATATTAAATTTACACACATAAATATTCATGATAGTTTGGTGCTACCGGGCCTCAAATATCGAGCCTGGAACCCAATAGGTATATATATTTAAGAATTTAAATTATAAAAAAACACGCACAAAATAATCAAAATATTAAATTTGACACACATAAATATTCATGTTAGTTTGGTGCTACTGGGCCTTAAATATCGAGTCTGGAACCCAATAGGTATATATATTTAAGAATTTAAATTATAAAACAAACACACACAAAATAATCAAAATATTGAATTTGACACACATAAATATTCATGAAAGTTTGGTGCTACTGGGCCTCAAATATCGAGCCTGGAACCCAATAGGTATATATATTTTGTACAATTAAATAATAAACATACAATTAATGTTGTTTAATTTACAGTTGACGACATGGACACGTCGCCTATACATCCCGGCCCTTACTCTCGTGAGCTATTAGTGCTTCAGGGCGATCATAGGTCCCCCCATATATGGGAGGGAGAGTTACTGTCCCAGACTCTCCGCGCTAGGAGAGTGGCTGACCTGTGGGATTTTCTGAGGCCCAGAGATCTCCACGAGCGTGTAGTCCATCGCCTCCAGGCTACGGGATTCTATAGGATTATTGAGATCGGGCGGATACAGGTTGACTGGGCTTTGATCACGGCGTTGATTGAGCAGTGGTGACCGGAGACGCACACTTTTCACCTGCCCATTGGCGAGGCTACCATCACGCTGCAGGACGTGGAGGTTTTATATGGCCTGCCCGTTGATGGCATGGCCGTTTCACTGCCTATTGCCATGAGATCTATGGCGCGTGATGCTTATTTGGACATGCTGCAGCAGCTCACGGGTTTCAGGCCACAGGACGAGACTGCATCGTTGGGTGCCAGTTGGTTGACTTTGGCACCTATTAGATAGTACCTGGAGGTACTCCACCCCGATATCACCGACGATACAGAGGAGGTACATATCACCCAGTATACGAGGTTGTTGCTGCTTCTTCTATTTGGAGGTGTCTTGTTCCCGAACACGTCGGGGAACCTAGTCAGCCTGAGATTTCTTCATCATCTTCAGCTGCTAGATGAGTTACCCTATTACAGCTGGGGTGCTGCTGTTCTCGGCTACATGTATAGGAAGATGTGCCGGGCGAGCATGGGCACTTAGACAGATTGATAGATCTTAAATACTCTTGTCTTATGTTTTGATGATCTAACAAACTTTCTTGTAAGAACCAGTTAGGGAACCTGACCTACTTGGGACTGCTGCAAACTTCAATGGACTCCAGTAAAAGTTGAATTGCTACACAGACAGGAGCTAGGAACCAAACAAGGACCTGATGCTCCTGCGGTTCCTATATAGCAGCACAAAGTCATTTGGACACAGCTGGAACTGAAGTGACTGCTGGCACTGTTTCTGCCGCACTGCAATATACTGACAGCCCACTTATTCTCTAACCAAACAAAGTACTCACATCATTTCAAGTGATGTGATCGAGTTGTACCAAAGGGGCTTTTATACAAAACATCACAAATGGGTTTCAGTTTCACTCACTCAAGCATCAAGCAAAAAAAGAAAAGATTATTCTCTCAAGCTTGAAGAACAAGGTTGAACGCCACTACAGACCAGTTCCTAAACGATTGATTATTGTTGTCCTAGTTGAGTTGTAACTTTGTTATTGCACTTATAATATCTCCTAAATCTCTTACTTAGAAGTTTACTGATTAGGAATCCTCTTGTAAATCCTCAGACTCGTTGAGTTTAGGTTATGGCTAGATTTAGTCATAAACAAAAGTCTTTGTAATCGTAGGGTTACAAAGTGGCTTGTGGTGACAGCACCACAAGTTAGAAAAGTCCTTTGTAACTAGGATAGTCACAAAGTGGCTTGTGGTAAAGGTACCACAAGTTAGTTTAAAGTCTTTACAATAGGGAGTATTGTAAAGTGGCTTGTAATAGGTAAGATTACAAGTTAGTGAAGTTAAAAGCCTACAAGGTAGGTCGTGGCTTTTTGATCCCCTTGTGTGGGATTTTTCCATGTAGAAAATCCTCTGCCTCATTTACTTGCTGCTTTATTAAGTACTCTCAGCAGAAACTTATAGAGGACCAGGTACTCTACGATTTGGTGGACCCATACAAACTAACAATTGGTATCAGAGCAGGTTTCTCCTATCAGGTTAACACCTAGGAAGGATCCTCATGATGGCTCCACTAAATTTTGAAGAAGGCGAATCCATATACCACCCACCCAAGTTTGATGGAAAACATTATTGGTGGTGGAAAGCTAGAATGCATGATTTCATCATGGCTGAGGATTGCGAGCTTTGGGATGTTATCTGCGATGGTCTGTTTGTTCCCATCAAAGTACAAAATGAAAATTCAGTTTCAATAAAAGAGACCAGTGAAGAATACACTGAAGCAGATAAAGAAGCGATGGAGAAGAATGCTCGTGCCAAGAAAATCCTCGTAGATGGTTTGGAACCTAAAGAGTATGACAGAATATCTACATTCGACATTGCCAAGGAAAATGGGAGGCTTTGCAAATGGCTCATGAGGGACCTATACAAGTAAAACTAGAAAAATCTAACACTGATAATAGTTCTACGATGGCGGTTGAAGGCGAGAAGACTGGATACGACTCAGCGCTTGCATTGATGGCTCAATCAGATAACGATGAAGACAATGGCAACGAAGAGGTAACCTTCAAGGATGTTCAGAGAATAGGTAATGTGTTTAGCCGATGTTTTAATTACTGCATTTGTAGTCTTGCGGAGGATAGGGATTCCTTGTTCTTTGAACTAGAAGAATCTGAACATATTAGAAAAGACTTAGTTGCTGCAATTTCTGATCAAACGAAAGCCATTGGAAGCTCTGAAAGAGGAAAAGAGATAGTGAATGAGGAATATTCCACGCTTGAAGATGTGAGTGTGGAACATTCTAGGCTTGAAGATGAGGTGAAGGCCTTGAGATGTAGGATGAGTGCTGAAATCGAGAAAAACGAGCTCCTCCAAGCCAATCTAGAAAAAATAATGAATGATCTTGAAAGGTCTCTAAAGTGGACCTGGTCCGTAGAAGCTACCACGCCCTTGTTTACTAATGACAGTGAAAAAGGATGAGGAGCAAGGTTTCCAAGGAAGAAAGATCCTTACAACCCTCACAGTAAGAGCGCCACTGCACCTGATAACTGGCCTTGTACTCAATATGGGAACACTGGGCACTCCATGGAAGGTTTCCATGCCAAGAATCAGTCAGTACCAAAAGATAAAGTGACTGCTGAAACTGTGATCACAAAAGAGGGACCAGGTTCCACTCACAGAAAGCGCACATTACCTGCATGGACCAAGAGAGCTCTTATTCATCCTCTTGGTTACTACAAGGGACCCAAACTTGTTTGGGTTCCTAAAACTAACTCCTAATTTTCTTGTGCAGGGAACAGTGAAGGGAAGTGGTCAACAATGGTTCATGGACAGTGGATGTTCGAAACACATGACTGGGAACACCACAGACTTTCTTT